TGAATAACATTATCATTTGTTTTTGAATTGAGTAATTCAAGTCGACAATATCTACCTTGTAAAACATGGTATTGTGGATTAGAAAGAGGATGATCTCGTGGTGACCAATTTAGAACAACATCACCAAGATCATCATCAGTATCAGCAGACATCGATGTATCGTTTGATATTTTTTTTTGTTGAGTCGATAATGACGAAGAGAAAATAAGGATATTTTTGAAGTGATCCTTATCTTTATTAATCTTTATATTTGATGTCAGTTTCAACCAAACAGAATCTACTATTTGAATAACGGTATTCGTCTACGATAGAGCGTTATGTTTTATCATATACACCACTGACAGATAGCGACAATAACACCATTAGTAATATATTTAAAAAACATATATAATTACTTATGCTCATTATTAAAACAATCAGGTTATACACATAATTAATTTTATAAAAAAATTCTGCACTTAGATTTGCAAAAAAAAGAGTTGTTGTAACTGATATATATATATTTGTATGATTATTGTCATTAGTATTTAAAACTAAAAGAATTAATGTTAATTATTGAAATATATCGAAGCATTTTACGTGAATTATCTGATCCCAATTTGTTATATTAATTAAATTTGTACTGATAATAATGAAAAGATGAGAAAATATTTTCAGCTGTCATCATATGTAATCTTTATGAATTTCTTTTTTTTTGAAGGATGAAATAATCCATCCGTCCGTTTTTATTTAACAGATGAGTAATATCAACTACTACATAAAACATGAAAGAAATAGAAAGAAGAGTAATTGACATATAACGTTTGTTACTTTACCTTTGTGAATTTTTTTTAATGTCAAAATCATATTTTTTTTAACACGAGTCGGTCGATTATTATACTTTTTTTTAACGTTTTCTATCGTAATTAAATAGTAAAAATAGACAAATTAAAAATACAGAATATATTTTTGTTGTTTTCTCTAGAAAGAAAAAGAACGAGAGAAGTTTTTTTTCCTTTTCACGTGTTCTGCATCACGAGAACAGAAAAATACCAATCATAGGAACAATTTACGCATTATTTTCTTGTGGAAGAAAAGAAGAAAAACAGAAAGCAAAACGCTTAGTGAAGGTTGTCAATAAAAATATAGAGATATGTTATTTATACTCATCAAGTAACTTTTTTCAATATATATAAATTCAATGGCTGATATTAATAGTTATTTTATTGTGTCTATGATCTGTTTACAAACATTATATAATTGTGCTTTATCAATTTGTGGACAATATATCTATCAATATTACTTAAAAACTTACCCTGCTCATAATTGGACTAATACCAGTTCTTTTACGATTAATCTATATGAATCTGTTCAAGAAACATGTGCACAAAACACGACAGATATTTCAAATAATTCTGCTGAAATTTGGGCACAACAACGTTCAGCTGATTTAATATTTCAAACAACTTTATGGCGAGCATTTCCAGTAATAATTATCACCTATTTATATGGTCTTTATGCTTCACGATTAAATCAAAAATTAGTATTGCTATTATCTATAGTTGGAAATGCCATTCATGTAATTATTTATCAAGCAATAGTTTATGAAAATTTACCAGAATATTGGTGGTATATATCAGCTTTTATCGCTGGTTTAGCTGGTGGAACGAATGTTCTTGGTGAGTCAGTATAATTTAATTGATTCTGTCCTATATATTTCTATTAGGTATTGTAATGAATTTAATTATAACTGAAAATACTGAAGAAAATGAACGTTCATCACGTTTTGTATGTCTTGGCGCTTTAGCTACATCGTTATCAGCAATATCACTGTTTATAATTGGTTATTATATTCATTGGCGTGGCTTTACTGATTTATTTTGGATGGCAATTGGATTTGAAGTCTTATCAATTGTCGTAGTTATTTTCTATTCAAAACCTTCTCGTTCATCAACAACAACAACAACAATCGATGAAACAATATCTCTTCTATCATCAAATAATAATAATGATAATGTTGACATTACAATACCGACAAGATCTATTTGTAATAGTTGTTTTGATATGTGTACAATATTTAAGTTTACACATAACTCACGAAAAAAAACTATTAAGCTTATTTTAATTATTATTTGTTATATATTTCATTTATTAGCAACAACATCATTGTCTCCATTGATCTGGTATCTTCTTGGAGCACCATTTTGTTGGTCATCAGAAGATCTTGGGAATTTTTCAGCTATATCTTTAATTAGTACAGCTATTTTTAGTGTACTTGGTATGAAATTATTTAGTTATTGTGGAGCAAATGATGCTTTGATTTGTGCACTTGGACATATTTGTTTCTTTGGATATTCATTATGGATTGCTCTTGCTAAATATAGTTGGCAATTGTATTTAGCATTATTAATTAATCCATTTTCTGTTTATCAAAATGTATTAACAGTTTCAATGATATCGAAATTATTAGAACCTCATGAGCGACATAATGCTTTTACATTAATAACTGAAATTAATACAATTATTTTGGCATTTGGAAGTTCACTATTCAATTGGATGTATGCTCGAACTGTAATTTATCAAAAGAATTTTACGTTATTATTTGCTAGTGGACTCTGTGTTATACCATTTGTTCTCAATATGTAAGTATGAATATTCTAAAGCAAGATAACTATTTATTTCTTATTTTTTGTTATTAGGTATCTTTATCTGATTACTCGAAAAATTTCTACGGAAGAAGAAACAACTATTGTGTCAGAAGTAGATACAGAAGTAACAACACCTTCTCTATTGAGTAATATATTACCTCAAGATGGTGATACAGCTTCGTTGGTTCTACCTTCGCTTTCATTTACCAATTCTCTTTGTTTATCTCAGGATGAGAGAATACGTAGTAACTCTTATTCTTGTATCGACGAACAGAACAATCAACATGTGATAACATAATTCTGTATTTTATTTATATTTTACTATTTATTCGTCTGCATGACACTAAAAAAAGAGTAAATATGGGTTATTTTTCTCCGGGAGTATGAATATTTATATTTTAATACTAAAATGATCAAAACTTGTAATTAAATAATTTGTAATTCATTATAAACTTTAACTCAAGAGACTTTTTTTTATCAAAAAATGGATAATGATAAAAGTATACAATTGATATTCGTGCTCAGATATTTCGTCTTCAAAAATCTAATTTATTTATACAATCAAATGAATCGTATTTTACACTAGATTGCAATACAGAACCATTCCGAAAAAATCAAAGATCAAATATGTACACAAATGGAACGTATTATTAGCAATTCCATTGAATAAATTACAGATTCTTCATCATTGCTTAGTATTATCGATTTACATCGATTATAGCAATAGATATTATAACAGTAAAAACACTTGTTGAATTGATTAAACTATTGCAAATAGATAAACTTCAACCAAATCTTATGTAAATTATCATTTATTCTTTAATTATTTATCTATTATTTTCATTGGAAAATCGTTCGCTACATTCTTTTTTGTTTCAAATCTATTGTTACTACACCTCGGATTCAATTGTAAACAATACTCATTGTTTGCTACACTATAAATATCTTAATTGCGATTAAAATACACATTACAATTGTATTTAGTTGTTCTATCAAATAGTGATTCGATTATTTTATATACAAGCTATATCAAGACTAATATTTCTGTAGAATTGATATTGTATGGCTGCTTATATATTCGTAAAATTTTAAACTAAAAATATTTTTAATGCATTATATCTTCCAACAGTGGTATTAAAAGTATAGTTTTTCTGTACCTGATATCAATGAATATAATATAATATTTTGAAAGTATTCAAAAATAATGTAGATAACAAGACAGAGTTATTAAAATCATACATAGAAAATAAATATTTTTACTTTTATTTTATAATTCAATCTATTGCTGCTTTATGCTTTACAGTTTCAACAAATTATGATATTCCGTATAAAAACTAAAAATAAATATGTTCGTAATTGCCAGATAGCCGATAATGACACATTTACACGATAATATAATCTGCTTCATTAATTTTATTCATTATTTCCACTGTAACTACATCGGTAAGTAATAACACTAAAATAACACCTAACTCACAAGCGATAGCTTCATTAAATTTAATAATTTTTCTTCTATACAAATAATTTTAACTGTAATATAGTTAGACGACAACTTACAGATAAATTACATTCTATTCTTATTAGTTGTTTCTACACATCACAAGAATGGATACAGTATATATTCTTACTATTCTTCTCGACATTTTTTATGCACTAACTTTATTCGTCGCTTTCTTATATTCATGTTTAATTTTGTTTATTCCACGATTTCGTCATCCTAACAATATGTTTATACTCAATATGTGTATCTCTATAATGAGTTGTTGTATTTTCTTCTTCATCTTTTTTACAATGCTTTATTTCAATGTACAACTTTTATATGCTCAACATACATGTATTATTTTACTGTATGCATATAATATTGCTTCTGTCGTGGTCCCATTTTCTTTCGTTACTTTTTCCATTTATCGATCCAGTGTAATCTTGTATCATACAAATGCATTTTTTAAAACAAAAAAATGGGTAGTGATTTGTATTGGAGGTCAATGGATACTTCAATGTATTATCTCTTTACCATTTGTTCTTCGACAAGGACCAGTATGTATGAATTTTTTTTTAGAGATTTATAATATGTTGGGTATTTGTGAGTAAAAGTATGATGTTTTATCAAATAAATACATACAAAAAGGAAATAAAATTTCGCCGAGCTCGTTTCAACATAATTTTACATTAGATTCACGAAAGGAGAACTGCAATTATAGATTGTTGTATTAAAATTAAATATATTTATTTATAGTATTGCAGAAATGAATTATGGATGCGAATCTATACATTTATTATGACTGCAGGTGTACCAACAATAATGAATATTTTTACAAATTATCGTATCTACGCATATATTCGATCTTCGACTCGTCGTATTCAGCCACAAATGGTCAATACAATAACAAATACTAATGTTATTCCGGAACCAAAAAATAATCGTCGAGATATTGCTGTTTTAAAACAAATTGTTTTCATGATATTAATGTTTGTATGTGGATGGACTCCTCCTAGTCTTATAGTAATTATAAGTAATTCTGTTACTCTTGATCCACTTATTTTTCGAATTGCATCATTATTTGGTGCATTATGCTTATTGGGTATTACCATAAATTTAATTCAATGCAATCATGAATTTAAACATTATTGTATAAACAATATTCGAAGAGTTTTTTTTCAATAAATTGTTAAAGTGAGTTATCGACAAAGTTCTTTTTCTGTGATGTAATGAATTACTTTGTACTACTTGTTTTTTTTCTTTTTCCGTATCTCTTCTTCTCTCTCTTTATGACTTGTTGTTTTCTGAGTTCTTCTTCATGTATACAAAAGCCTCAATATATCTATTCGTTTTTTTTTGATTGAACAGCAAGACGTGACATTCTATATTCAAAATCTTGTGCTCTGCATGTGATTGTAAAAAAAGTATATTTTGGTGTAAAGATACTTCTGATTTTAATTGTACGACAAAAATAAAAACGAATGATATTATCATTAAGAAAAAGTATTTTGCACTTGACATACACTATTTTATAACGTACCGAGAAATACTTAGAAAAAACAATTACTTGTTCTAATAAAAGTAACATAATGCATATAATTGATCTTTTTTAATATTATAATCATATTCTATTTAAAAAACTTATTTTCTACAAAGCAATTAGTTTTTATAAGATAGAATTGTTTTCATACTGTGTATCATAAAAATAATTAACATTAAAAACGACTGCCTTTTTGATGTGATGATGTCATATTTTATGAAAATATATAAGGAGTTTTTTTAAAGTCAAATATTATGATCGCACATATTTATTTACCTGTATAGATTAGTTGAAAAATCCTATGAAAAGAATAAAATAGATCACAAGACATTTTATTTCTCACAATTATGATCCTTGGTGATATCTTATATATCGTACAAAGTGGTTTATATGTATTAAATATACTTGCTGCTGTTATATATTCATGTTCAATACTATTTATTCGACGTCTTCATCATCAAAATAATATATTTATACTCAATATGTGTATTACAATAATACTTAGTTGGATTTATTTTATTATCTATTTTTTAGTGGCTGAATATGAATATCCACGATATATATGTGATATTTTATATTATGCTTTTAATGTGGCAAGCATACAAGTTCCATTTGCATTCATAGCTTTTTCAGTTCATCGATTATGTTTATTAGTATATCATATGAAACCTATTTTTAAGAAGAGACGATGGGTAGTGATATGTATTGCAGGTCATTGGATAGCTCAATATATTATTTCGCTACCATTCTTTTTTCGAACAAAACGGGTAGATATTTTTTTTATTTTGCTTGTATTATATTATATCCAGGTTTTTAAATTTATTGAATGTTTAAGTGAAAGATTAGAGCTATAAAAGGAGATAAGATAATATAAAAATCTCTTTTGACATGAATATTTTTTTTTAAACCGACTAGATCACTAAAAATTATGATTAAGATATATTTTTATCATTATAGTATTGTGCCAATGAATTCTGGTTGGCAGTTTATACGCTTATAACAGCTACAATCTTACAGAGCACCTAATGGGCTGGGCTGAGCCCATAACCGCCCAGCCCAGCCCGACCCAGCCCAGCCTATGGGCCAGATTTCTCAAAATAAAAAACCATGGGCTGGGCTGGGCTGACTCAATTTCTGATGGGCGGCCCATAAACTGAGTTTTGATTAAATTATTAAAATATACTATTACAAGCTGATGAACTAACAAGATATTTGTCTCTGGAGCTCGATAAGTCTAAATTGTTTTTCAATTCTCTTGACTTTTAAAAAAATTATCAAGTAGCTTTTCCTATTTTATCAATACTTGCTAAGCAAATACATTGGATTCCTGCATTTTCGGCAGCAGTCGAAAGGTGTTTCAGCTCAAGGGGTTTTATTGCTAATGAACGCCGGTTAAGCTTAAGTCTCTATCAACTAGATAATATAGTAGTAATTCGTTCAATAAAAACTTTACAAAAGTAGTATGTTTTTTCTGCGCCTCCTATTCCTTTATTAACAATATATTTTGTATTTATCTTGGGATTTATAATATTTTTGTTTGTTTTATATAAACTATATTGATGTACGAAAATTGGTATATTTTCTTTTCTCTTTTAATTTATTTACACTTAAAAAATCTATTTGTTATCATGAAATTCAAGAAACTAATCGTGATTAAACTTATGAAATAAAATAAAAAAGAACGATAATAAATACTTGTAATTAAACAGATAACGCAAACTATGTATACGCCAAATTTTAATAAGACATGCAGCCCATGGGCCGGGCCAACGTTTTATGGCCCATGGGTTGACTTTTTCAGGCCCAGCCCGGCCCATTAGGTGCTCTGCAATCTTACCTTCAATTATAAATATTATACTAAATACCTTAATTTATTTTCATGTTCGATCTTCTACTCGTCGTGTTCATCCTAATGCTGTGAATGCATTAACAAATACTGTTAAAAATCAACAACCAGTAATAAGTCGTCGAGATATATCATTATTACGCCAGATGGTTTTTATGTTTATAACGTTTATCGGAGGTTGGATTCCAGCTTTGATTCTCAATATTTTAAATCAAACAATGAATTTTGATTTCAAAATTGTACAAATTGCTGTAATATTTAGTCAGTTGTGTGTATTAGGTATTCTCATAAATTTATTTATGTACAATCATGAACTGAGACAATACTTATCAAATAAAATTCGAATTTGTTTACAACGCTAAGAATATGTTGTAAAGTATGGTTTTTAAATACTCTGAGTTTTATCTTGTATTCATTGTCTCTTTAATATTAAATTGAATCTTTAAATAAATAATTATATTGTTATGCATGTAAGCATGAAACACGGTTTGACAAAAAACGCGTCGAGATGCAGTCAAAAATGTTTTCATGACACACACAAACGCATTGACACGCAATTTAAAAAACTTTTAAATCACGCTTTTCAGACCTGGCTTTACTGTAAAAACTTTTGCTCTAGATGGCTTAAACACGTGATCGAAGTAGTGAGTTTACTTATATTTCATTTGTCTAAACTTTGTTGGATGATTTAATAAAAAAATGTTTAATCATATGATTACCAACTTTTATCATACATCTATTAAATAAATTGTACGCATAATGATTTATCGAGTTACTTTTACAATTAAAATAATCAATGACATATCACCAGAACTTTTTAAAAATGTAACTACGAATAAAATAAAGACCTCATGTACTGAAAAAATTTTTTCTTAAACTATGTGCTACATGAATTGTTCGTTAAATAAATTAAAGATGCTGCATATTAACTGATAAAAATTTATAACAGTGTAAATAACTTCATCATAAAGCTCAATTAAATCCGTCTTTGTTTTTTCGAAGAAAACGTACTCTGATGAATTTAAAACTTAAATATAGTATAGCTTTATAATGTTCTTTGGTGTAATTTAGTAAAATTTCGATATTATCAAAAATATCATAATGCAGTTTTTCTCATTAATGTTTTATTGTATTTTTTGAATAATGTCATTAATTTGTTGCTTCCTGTATATTATACTTTTTGTTCATTTGAATTGTAGATGAGTCAAATTTGCTGCAGTGTATCTATACGTATACAGGAAAACTTTTAGTTTTATCAGATTTTGAGAAAATTATTGGCTATCGAACAGTTTCTTCCTACAGCAAGTGTGTTGATAGATCTTATGATTTATTTACCAACTGCAACAATAGAAAAAGTTGTTATATAAGATATTTATTTTCTATAGAAATACAATTTACGAACTATATTAACTTATATTAGTTTTATACTCAATATATGGTTTCCTCAAATCGCGATATTTCTAATGTTTCACTATATATAGATCATTTATACTCTTATTACTTGTAATACTTCTGTATCGAATAGAGATCAAAGAAACTATTCCGGGCGATAGAACATGCATATGCGATTTGGAACATATGTACGGCTACACTTCGTATAAAACAAATGAACTAGTGCTTTTGTAATCTATTCATGAAACTAGATCATGAATTATAATTTACCTTTAAGACAAAATAAAAATTATTTTTCACTCTAGTATTTCTCTTTAAAATAGTGTAAAATATTGCATGTAAATTACATTTGTCCTCATTCTAGATATTATAATGAAGAGATTTATACTCTTTTTTGTTAGTGAAAAACTCTTTCATTGCAATAATATGAACAAAAGAAAATCAGTTTGAATTTGTACACTATAATTATTTCAATGATCTCATCAATTTACATTTCTTTCACATATAAACGGAAATGTGTTTTCTTGATTTAAATATTTTTTTTTTCTAAATTAAAGATGACCTATTTATATGGTAGAATATAGAAAAGAGAAAAAAAAATTATCTACACTTTTTATCATTCTGTTTATTTCAGCAGTAAAAATTATTTAACTTTGCACTCGTCAAAATGGTCGATATTAGTTACATCTTCATTATTATTGAAGATATCTTATTAGCAATAGCACTTCTATTAACCTTAACATTTTCAGCATTAATTTTATTGATTCCACATCTTCGTCATCGAAATAACATGATTATAATTAATATATGCTGTAGTATAATTGGCAGTTGTATCTTTTTTTTCATCTATTTTACAATGAGCTATTTTGATCCACAACATTTATTTACATCACAATTATGTATTCTATTGTTTTATGCATATAATATTGCTAGTATAGGAGTGCCATTTGCTTTTGTTACTTTTACTGTTCATCGATACTTTTACATAGTATATCATACGAAAGGTTTCTTTAAAACAAAACGATGGGTTGTAATATGTATTGCAGGTCAATGGATAAGTGAATTTGTTATCTCATTACCATTCGTTCTTCGACAAGGACCAGTAAGTAGTTGTTTATTTTTCATAAGAATTATTTATATGACAAAAGGAATAGTTGTAAAGAGTAGGGATAGGACAGTTCATAGTTCCAAGTTCGGATGAACTGGTCAAAAGAACTACCAGTTCAGTTCTTCTGATAGGAACTGAACTGAACTAACAGTTCTTTGAATAGAACTGAACGGTACTAACAGTTCTTTGAAAGGAACTGAACTGTATTAACAGTTCTTTGAATAGAACTAAACTTTACCAAACAGTTCTTTGAAAGGAACTGAACTGTATCAACAGTTCTTTCAGAGGAACTGGTCGGTTTCAACAGTTCTTTTAAAAGAACTGTTTTGTTTCAAATTTGTTTTTATTTCCAAAAAAATAGTTTTCACAACAGTTCTCAGAAAAGAACTGAACTGAAATAACAGTTCTTTGAAAGGAACTGAACTTGTCGGTACAGTTCAGTTCTATTCAAAGAACTGTTAATACAGTTCAGTTCCTTTCAAAGAACTGTTAGTACAGTTCGGTTCTATTCAAAGAACTGTTAGTTCAGTTCAGTTCTATTCAAAGAACTGTTGATTCAGTTCAGTTCTATTCAAAAGAACTGCTAATACAGTTCCTAAGAACGGAACTAATATGGAACTGTCCTACCCCTAGTAAAGAGATAGAAAATGAAAAATAGCATTTCTACAAACCCTAGAAAATTATTTAAGGAAACTTAGTCATCTTAAATTTCATGATGAATTCAAGTTATTGCTACATGTATAGAACAAATTCTATAAGAATAGCTGTTCATTACCATATAAATAATGGTATGAATTCAACTAATTCTAACCCAATAGGAGATCTATTTATATAAGATATATATCAAGATACTTGAAATTGTATACTCTAGATTTTGCTTTAAATTAAACATTCTTTCACTTATAATAGATCTTCTTGATTAAAAGAAATATAATTAAACATGTTCTTTTTCTAGTATTGTAGTAATTTATTATGGATGCGAACTTACACATGTATTCTGGTTATAGTAGTTCCGTCAATGATTACTATTGTATTAAATGCTTTAATATTTCTTCATGTTCGATCATCTACTCGTCGTGTTCAACCACATACAATGAGTACAACTACAAATGGTGTTATGATGAATCAGAAAACAAGAGTTGGCCGTCGAGAAATTGCATTATTACGACACATGATTTTTATATTTTCAATTTTTCTTATAGGATGGAGTCCAATCTATTTAGTTAATGTTATCAACCAATTTATTACTGTTTCTACAATTCCTAATGGAAGTTCGATATTATTATGTGAAGTAGCTTTAATAAGTCTTATCATAAATTTATTCATGTGTAATCATCAACTAAGACAATATTTATCAAACAAAATTCGACTTTGTTTTATACATGAATAACATGTTTATGAAACTATTTTGAAGTTTTCTATATTAATTATCTCTATCTAAGTAGAGTGTAAATTATCACTATTTTAATATATGTTTATTTATACTCTACTATAACTAGTGTAACTCAGTATAGGTTTGTGTTGTTTAAATGTCATTTAAAATCAATAAAATATGTGTGTAGTTAATTTACCTAATTGATTACTTCACGATTATAAACATTGTATTTATTGGATTGTCTGTGGCGTGCATAAAAATATTTGATAAATATTTGAAATCTTTACTATTTATGTTAACTTATATAAAATTCCAAGTGTACCTGCCAGAGTAAATAGAAAGAGTAACAATAAATATTACAAATCAATGTGTTATTCTATGATAGTTTTTTCTTAACAAAAGATTGACAAGTAGTCATCTTTGTTGACTTGAATGAAATCAACAGTTGGATTTATTCAGTTGTATTCCATGTTTTTACCATCTAAATAACTTTCATTACAACTATATTATAGTTACATCTTAATAATCAAAAATAAAAGCAGTAAAAGTCTTCAAATGAAATTTTATTTATTTTTTCTTGAGAAGCATCTAAAATCCTTAATATGAGAAAAAGTTAATTGTATTATTATCCAATATTGTGTTTATTTTTAACTACAGCTTTAAATGAAATCTGTTTGATATATTCAAAAAATATAATAGAATATGGGTTACATACTGAAAAAAGTAATTATTTTACAAGATGACATTCATAGATTATAGATTTACCGTTTGCACTGTAACGCTGTATGATATATTTATAGTTAAAGTTTATTGGAGTTACAAATAATCTTTCAAAGTCATCTGACTTCTCCTATTAATGTATGCTCGTAAATCTCGACTAACATTCAGTATTAATAAACAATTATAATACAAAAATAAATCTGAAAATAAATTTGTTTGACGTCAATGTGTAATTTGCAATGCCTCTACTTTTTATAAGCCATGTCACGAGGAAAGACTATCATCTATGTTACAAGTTAATTAAAAAAATATACAGCTGTTTTTATATTTTTGTATCCATATAGTATACAGATAGGTATATAGAATAGAATAAAATAGCCTAACATCAATTATGTATTGTATTGTCACTCTTGTCTTTTTAACCTTTTGAAAACAGGTGATGCATATATGCGTTATCGATCCGGAATTTGTTAAGATCTCTAGCTATTAATTATCTATTCATAGTTCTATCTCAATTACTGTAACGCTATAGAATGTATTATATATATATATGCTTGCCCCAGTGGTGGATCTAGGGTTTTGGAAGGGAAGAGGGCCATCGACTCTCCCCCTTAATCCGCCACTGGCTTGCCCTATGTCTCAAAAGGGAACTGAATTTAATTGCCAATTAATACTCAATTGTTTCAAAAAATCTCTTTTCAAAACAAAATAAGCTGGTCGTTAAAAGATTAATTGCGATATAAATATGAAGATAAGAGTGATGCACATCAACATATTCTTTATTCAACTTACATCATTTATACCCGCGACATAAAAATTTTTGAGTTAAATTCAGTTTTCTACTAATAGATCAGTTTGTTCATTCTTTGCAATCATGGATTCATTTTATCTTACAACTATTCTGCAAGTTATATTTTCTTCTATTGATTTATTTCTTGCATTGATATATTCATTACCAATTATATTCATTTCTCGTTTCCATCATCAAAATAATATGTTCATTCTCAATCTATGTTTTACTATAATTAGTGCTTGTATCTATTATATTACTTTTTTTTT